TACTTCCTGATATTATTCTACTGATGGTTATTTTACTGCCTGTGGATTCCCAGGTGATGCTACACCAGCCCTAATTTATGAAGGCATTTTTTGCTGGTTAGTTACTTAATGACATTAGGGTAATAGTTCTCAGCCTTGTTGAGAAGGGAAAATTTTCTTTGGCTTACCTGCTCTTGTTTTGGGTTATTTCCCTGCCTCTGAATGGGCAGCAGCTCCACCCTCAAGTCAGAGGGTTGCCCGTGTTTGCAGTGCTGCCCTGCCTTGGAGGAGATGAATTGCCACCGAGGAAACTAGTAAACAGTTGTTGGTAAACAGTTTTAAGTCTCGTCTAAACATCTGCAGCCAGTAATTAGTCTTTTCTTACTCAGGCAACGGTGAGGGGGGAAGCTGAGCTCATGCTTGAAGCCAGCTCATGCTTGAACTGCTGACTGCTGTGTCTGATGCTTTATGGCTCCCTGAGGGTTCTGTTGCACAGTTTGAGAAACCAGCCCTGTCCTAGAGGTAGAAACCAGGTATGGGGTGTCTAAGACATATGAGACACATCAGAAAGAATGCTGGCAGCGTGGGGGGATAAATAGGAAAAACTAAAAGGCAAGTGGAGATGAAGTCAGGTGAGTCTGGCAGTGGAAAGGAGATGAGAGCAGGAGAGGACAGAGCCAAGGAGAATTTGGAGAGCAAGTAAATATAATGACCAAGGAGCTGCTTAGTCAGTGGAGTGAAAATGGCCTGTGTTCATTTTTGCATAAGCATGGGGTGATGGAAGTTTTAGGGCCTGTCTTTTGCTCCACCACTGTTGTGCTCTGCTGTTTTGGAAACTTTGTAGATGTGATTCCATCAGCTCGTGAACATACTTTAAGATTTGATATTATTTAAATAGCCAACACTGGTTGACTTCACGGTTCTAAAAATCCATATTATTTAGACCAGGGTCTAATACAGTTTGGGTCAGTGCACAGTATTGACTTGAATAAAAGGAGGGGAGGGGGAAGTCTCTCCCTCCTCCCCTTTAATAATCATGAATTAGAAATCTTTCTGCAAAGCTGTCTTCCCCCCCCACACCTCCCCTCCTGTTTTTGATTTTCTGTCTTTATTTCCTTATAGTGTGCCCGAAAATTCTAATTTAGTTTGGTAAAATATACCCCCCAACAAGAGGGCAAGTAAGCTGGGAGGGAGATGCAAAAAGTGTAATTGATTCTGATACAAATACAAAATCTGCTGGTGCTCTGGAACACCTCATACTTCGTTCCATTTTGTTTTGGTTTGAATGTTACTGTCTTTCTGTAGTTAAACTGTGAAGGCCCAAACAACAGGTGATGATGCTACTAATGCCCAAAGGGATTATTGTTGAATGCATGCAAACATTGCTCAGCAACTCCACAGGCAGAGAGTGCTTTGTTTCAAGATTGTTCACTCATGGTTATTACAGGACTAAGAGTTTAAAAAAATAAGAGGTCCATTTCTCTTTGCGGCAAATGGACAACCCCCTCCCCTTGCCGTTAATAGGAATTGTGCCCTCTTTAGAACTGAGATTATTTTGGTTGGATGGATGGGACTTGTTGGAGGGGGCAAATGGTAAAAAGATGTTTTAATTGAGATTTGGTGTCTCATTGTCATCTTTCAGTATTACAGATATTTAGCAGTAGAATTCTAAGCCAGGCATGAAAAGAGTTTGGACAGTTTGTAAAGTGCATTTGCAGGTGAGAAAGCCTCTTTCCCGGGGTACACAATACACCCTCTGTATTGTCTTTTCACCCCACCTTGTTTTGTTGGTTGGTATGAGCTGATGATCACCTGCAGTGGCAAATCACCTGTCAGGTGCTGAGCAGGTGGTTCCACTGGTGTTTTATCCCAGTGTACTCACAGCATTGCTAAGTGCACTGGCAACTAATAAAAGATAGCACGTGTATACTCGCCTGTGACTTCACAAACACGATTTACAGCTGTAAAGAGTGATGGGGATGACTAATTAGCTATAGGGTATGTGAGTGCTGCAGTAAAGAGAGCTCTGTATAGACAAGGAACCCCATTTCACCAACTGTTAAGGAAATACTTGAACCCAGTAGGACACCACTCACTTACCAAGCCAACCCACCCTGCAGCACAGCAGTCCTTGCTGAAAAGCTGGAGCCCAAATGTCTCTGCTGTTGCAAAGCTGAGCTCGTGTAGATGGAAGCTGGTGATATGTACGTGATCATTACACTGTGTCAAGTTTCATTTTGAAGACCATAAGTATACCTTTTTAAAAGAAAAACAAACTACTTCACCGGCCTGGAGAGAAACATAAATCATGTATTTTCGTCGCCTCAAAAGACCACTAAAAAGATGAGCTTTAATATTTCAAATGCGACAAGCAATCTCTAGGCATGAATCACAATTTGAGTTCCATTACAGCTGAGCTGATGTATACCACCATGTGCTTTATGGATTTTACTCTAACAATATTAAGTAAAAACCCAAAGCCTTTTGTGATGAATACCTAACCTTTTACAAGAATTTGTAGAATTGAGGTCCAGAACAATTTTAGTGTTGCCCTGCAAGCTTTAATAAGGAAATTCTGTTGCCAGTTTTGATCTCTTAATATTACTCTCTGTAAAGAAAATAGGTGTATTAGTAGAAGGCTAATGTAGCAAAGATAAAAGAAAATGTGAAATCCTGAAAGGGTTTATGGAAAATGCACCAAAGGAAATGAGCAAAGAGTGAAGGGCTGGTTCTTTTATTACTTCTGCTTCCTTTGTTAGGCCTGGGCTTTTTCTTCCTGGACTCTAGAACTTCTGCAGCAACCCAGTGCCAGCTTTTCTCAATTCCTCTATTTATAGTCAAGTCACCACTTGAAGTCCTTAGTCTCCTTTTCAGATATTCTCCCATGGCAATATTTTCATATAGGTTGTGAATTTTCTTTTTATCTCTGGGTATTCTTGTATCTTTTGTTACAGCAATCTGGGCCTTTCTTGCAATGAATCAAAGTTCAAATTCCTTCACCTTTGAGACTTTTAATCCTCTCTCTTCTCCTTGGGGGAAGAAAGAGAGGTGTAGTCCAATGAATTCAGTGAGGAAGCTGGAGAGGAAGGGTAGTGCACAAGGTTAATTTTCAGGTGAATTGGTTGCTGTTTTGACATTCTTGCTTTCTTTACAGACATCTTTTTATTCCTTTTCCTTTTATGCTAGAAAATTATTAGATATGCAAGAACAAAACTCCTCAAAGCTGTGCTCCAAAAGCCTATTAAAAATAGTCTGCAAGCAGAACAGTGTGAACACACGTCAACACCTGAGTGTTTCCCAAGTGGCTCGAGCACTCAGTGGTGTGATAACAAGGCATGTGGGAGGATTTTTTCGTGGCTTTTATCTTTCATATATTGATGCTCCCAGCTTTTTAAAATTCATTTAATCAAGTGGCACTGCAACTGAAACAACAGAAATGCAGCAATGAGATAGTTTAAGGTGTTTGCAGTGATACACAAAGTATTTTGCCTCCAGGCCATCACTCCTAATTCATCCCGAGTTGGCAGCAGTCAGAAATCACTGCCAACTGACAGCTGTTTGCTGGCCAACGTGAAGCAATTTAGCTAGTAGTTCCTGCTGGACAGATGTCTGTAATGTGGGGAGTGTGAGTGCAGCTGGCATGTGTTTCATTTCAGAGACTCGAAAACGTGGGTGTGCCTCAACTGCAGCCACTTCAGCTGAGGAAGGGTGGGCAGGACAGCGGAATTGAGCTAACCAAGAACTAAGCATGGGCACAGTTGAACTCCCCCACCTCCTGGGGCTGAATGCTGATGGTGCTAATGCCTTGCAGCACTTCCACTGTGTCTCCATAAGGAGAGAGGGAGAAGGGAGTCTGGAGCTTGGGTAGAAACTGCACTGTGGGGTGACCAACTCGTTGATGCTCCAGCCTGGGAGGTTCTTCAGCTGTGTTGTCAATTGATACCTTTCCTGAGTGTGAGCAATCAATACCAAAAGGAAAGTAATAGGGAGAGAAAAAAAAAAAATGAGTCTGATTCATCTTTCTTTGTGTGGACGTATGTAACACTAGAATTAATACTTTGAAAACCACGAATTACTTCATGTAAAATCTTGTGCTGCTAAGCAGAAAATCCATCCTGCTGAGAGAAAAATAAAGGAAATTCTTCAGAGTAATGTCTGGTTCTGTGAGGAAGGAAGGAGTAGGGGGTGAAAGATTTTACAGTTTACAATATCACAGAGCTGTGAGATATTTAAACGGGCAAGTAAATGATAGGTTTGAGTCACTATTGTGAAAACAGTTTTGAATTTTGGATTTGCAGCAGCAATAGAGATTGCTTTAGCAGAGATGTGGGGTCAAGTTTTTGCTGCTCCTTAGTCATCTTTTTTTTTTTTTCTTTTGACATGATGCAAAAGAGGCATAAAATGGGCTTAGGTGACTAGTTCTGCTTGTGTGAGATGTGGAAGCGGCACAGAGCCCTGTCCAGTAACTCCTGCACAGAAACTCCAGTGTTTCAGGGACAGGGCACTGTCAGAGTACTTGGGTTAATCCAGAGGTCTGGAGCACTCCCTGTCCAACTCCCAGTTGAATCTGCTACTGCATTGTCCTGACAAACATTGCCATGTCATATCTGACCAGCACTGCAACTGATCCCACGCTGTACAGAGTTACTATGCCTTTAAGAGTTGGGATTTTCAACATTGCACACTTCTGACACTATTTTATGCGTTTGAAAACTGCATCAGTTTTTGTTTGGTTGTTTTTTTTTTTTTTTAAAGTTGTAGGAAAAAATCCAAATGGATGCCTTGCTTTTCCAGAGTTAAAAAATATATAGTGTTTCAAGAAGAACAGTGTGAAGGAACCCATTGCTATGATATAGGTGTTTTAGCTCTACTTTAAGGAACATTTTTTTACTGAATTTTCCCTGTTCCTTAATGCCGGTGTTTAACCAGACCGCCTTTGGACTTGTAAATGGAATTTATTTTCCCCAAAGTGCTTTCACTGACTGTAACCTTTTTTTTTTTTGGGTTGTTCTTCCCCGCAGATATTGATGAGTGTGCTGCCAAGATGCATTACTGTCACGCCAACACCGTGTGCGTTAACTTGCCCGGATCCTATCGCTGTGACTGCGTCGCTGGCTATGTCCGTGTGGATGATTTCTCCTGCACAGGTGAGCTCTCAGGTGCAGCAGCAGCTCTGTTGTGCTCCAGGTTTTTGTTACTGAGCTTCTGGGTAGCCCCCGTTCCGTACCAAGCGCCACGAACCAGCTGGCCCTTTGCCGGTGTAAAATTTTGGAGTAGATAAATGTGGTATGAGGTGACTATTCCTGTGTGTGAGCCCTTTGGGATTCACTTGGAAGGTGGCTGTAGGAGGCCTGTGATGCAGCCAGGGAGTGCTGCTGTTGTCAGCCAAGACCCTTCGTGCCCCACGCCTGGCTCTGCACAAGGTGCGGATGCTGAGGTTGGATGGCACAGGGGGACCGTGAGAAGAAATAACGCTATGTTAGCTGTGGTTGGAAAGTGGTGAGTGGATTGAGAAGTGAGGAATTATCCAGGAGGAGAAGCTGTTCTGGACAGAGCCGAGACCACCGTGTAAAAGGAAAACTGAAAATGTACAGAGTCCTCCAAACCGGTTATTTTTAGGGGGTTTGGAAATTGTTGTTGATGCCAAGAACTAATGTCTGGAGGACTATGACACATTGTTTAGATAACAGAGCAAGTGTGATGGCATTAGACAGTAAATCTAGTGATTCTTTTGTGATATCCATCAGCAAAATTAGCTCTAAAAATTTTTAATGGAAGGTAGGTAAGTCTCATTTCCATTTAGGGGTTTCTAAGGGACCTTCTCTGGCCGTCTCAGAAAAATATGAGAAGGTGCTGAACTGTTCATCCCAGCTCTGCCTATCTTGGATAACATCTTTCAATCACAACGCTCCAGAAAGGCTGATCTTGGGATTATTTTGATGGATTATTTTGATCAGGCAAAGGAGGAAAATATCAGGCAGGTTTATTGAAATGGATATGTCAACTTGGCACAATACCATGTCTAGGACGGTGTTGGGTGAGCTGTTTTCTCAAGTGGAAAAGGTGTGCTGGCTGAGGTAGAAGCCTTCACAGTGATGGGGAGAATGTTCTTGCCAGTCTGACACTTGCTTTTCCATACATGCACTACTAATTTCCTAATGTTCCTTTCTTTCCAGCAAGGCACTATCATTAGGCATGCAAAGGGTTCAGAAAGCAAGGCATTTGTGATTTACCAAAAAAAGTGTGAAGTTGTAAGACAAGTTGCTTGACAGTAATGGGTAAACATCCCCTTAAAATGCATGAACACACACAAAAAAATCAGGAGTGGATTTGGGAGCAAATAATAGAATGAGGGAGATAACTATTTCTTGCAGGTTTATTGTCTTGCTAAAGAGACTTCATTTTTGACATCACAGTTAAAAAGCACAGCAAGTGTGTAACATAGATCAGGAGAAACGTAGTTCATTGCCTGTTGTATCTAGAAATAATGGTTTGTTATAATAATAAATGTAGTTAAATAAGTACTGTGCAATAGAAGCACTAATCCTGTTTTGCATTTTGCATTATGTTTATACAGACTTTAAGCAATAATAGCAAAGATTAAAAACAAAATAATAAAAAGCCCAGGCAGCAAATATTCTACTAATTCCCCCTTTTACTGAAACCAAGTGTTTAGAAGGCACAAGTGAAATAAATCGTAGCTATTACTCAGTTTTTAAATATTATTACTCTCTATTCAAACAAAATAAACGAGACATTTTCTTGTCATTGAACCGTGAATTTGGAGACAAATCTGAAAGCTTGAGATAGGTTGGTGTTCTGATGACAATTGTGTGTGGGGGTGTCAGGCTCTGATGGGTTCAGGACGAGGATTAAGAAGTTTCAAATGTATGTGCTTAAGGCACATGCGTGTATTTTATGCACTGTTGACCTTAAAGCAGAGTTATTCCACAGAGCAGGAGTTACCATGTTTTGGGAAGTCTGAGTCTGCTTCATGAAGGCACAAAGTCATCTTTTGCTGCTGAGCAGATTCTGTTTGTTACTGGGCAGGCACGTGCTTGGTGGCCTTGGTGTCCAATCCCTCAGCTTTGGCAGCTTTCAAAAGGTGGAAAGCAGTTGCGTGTGGAAGCCAAAAATCAGAAAGAAATGTTGAGCTGAATAAAATATTTCAATTTGATATTGAGGGGCTTGTCTTTATAAAAAGACATGGAGTGACTGTTGAAATGCTATGTCAATTTGAATTGAGCAAAATGAGATTCATCTGGATATTCCTGAATTTTAAATACGCTGCTTCAGGTGCCTTTTCTTAAAACACTACATCTTTCTGAAATCAGGCTCATTTTTACTGTTTTGACATTGCTGAAACCTTTCTTCCCCAAACAGTTTTTGAATAATTGTTCCCAACTGTGAAGCAGGAACTTCTCTGGTTGTCAGTGAGAAGCTACTCTCTTGGAAGCTGTGCTGACTGAACAGAAAATGCAGTCATAGAGACAGAGTGACTAAAACAATATCCTGGATGAAGTCTCCAATTATATGAAACTCCTAACTATGATTTCAAATTAAGTAGTGACTGTTTTAATACATTGTCAGTGTTCAGTCTCACATGAGCAGAAGACCTGGCGTGGTGAGGTACTTTGTGACAGGTTAGTCAGCCTGTTCACCAAGAAAGGTCCATCAGTGTTTTTCTGCTCACCTGTTTCTAGAGCTCTGTGCTCTGAATGTTAACTGAGTTGTTGAGTGAAGTTGTTGACGGTTTTATTAAGAAAAGTTACCCTTGAATAGGAACCTGCTTTTCAGTCTGTTCCTGTGACACTGGCAGGTTGTTTATCTGTTCCCAAGTAAATCACAGCCTTGTCCATGCTGAAACTGGCAGCAAGATTTGCTGCTCCAGATGTTCTCGTTTGCTGGAATCTACTGATTCAAAGCATTTGATTGACTCTCCCAGGTTTTTACCCTGGTTGCTTGTTGTAAAATAAGTTCCCTTGGGTTGCTTTCTTCTGACATAGCAGTTTGGGAGTTCGCTTCAGAGGTGCATTATGTTGTTTTATGCTTTTCGAAGCATTATAAACTACTTAATAAAAATATAATAATTTTATTTTTGATGGGCTGCATCTGTTCTCTGGTCTGATTTTCAAAATTCATGTATATGAGTTTTCTGTAGTTTGAAACTAGAATATATAGTTTCTGTGTCCCACTGTCATTCAATAAAGTATTCAAAGGCCTTTTCATCTTAATGAGCTATAAATTATCTGTAATAATTGCATATAACGTGCTGATGTGAAGAGGAAACAGTGTGGGTAGGTTTTTGTCTCTTTTTGCATAGTACTGGAATTTTCTGTGAAGACAGTCAGAATGGTCATGAAAAAGATTCCTGACCTTTAACACCTATGATAACCATTTAAAAAAAAAAAAATCAGTGATTTTGCAATGTTTTCCTTAAGGCTGCCTGGGACACCAAAAACTTCCCCAAATCCCTCAGTCATTCAGAGAAAAAGTTACTTCATTTTGTGTGGTCACTACTGGGTTTGAAGGCTGTATTTCATTTTGTTGTGGTTTGTTTTGGGGTTTTTTTCTGTGTTTCATTTTGTTTTGTTTTTTTTGGACTGTGCTTTTATGCCTTTTTCAGTTCTCATTTGGTGTGTTGATATTCACAGAATGTCTTTAGTCTTTGGCTTCTCAAAGCAACGAGTCACTGAAATATTTGTATGTTACTTGTATAAAGCAAGCCCTTATCCATCACAGAAACAGGAAATGTTTTCAAAACACATAGTACAGTATTTTAATTCGGTGGAAAAATGATGTTGCATAGAAATATATTATTTAGGAGAAATCTTAGAATATAAATATTAGTCTTGAGTTTACATGCTAATTTGATTTACAGCATGGGTAGAGAAGATGAAGTAAGAAAACCTAATGATTTTGCCAGGTTATCCCATAAGCCCCTTCCCTTCTATCCTGTGTGGTTTCTGGAGCAGCATTCAGTTTGGAATGTGATGCACTGTTCAGAACAAGCCCTTCTGCAGCATGTTATTAGAGAAGTTGTGCCTAAAGCATAGAAAAATATCATAGAGTTCTGAGAAAATTTCATTTTCAAGGGAAAAAAGTCAGAAACCCTTTCTGCTGCTCTCCCCTTCTTCCCCTCCCCTGTCTCTCAAAGGCAACTCAACTGCAGAAATTTCCTCCTGTGGTTAGAACAAACACTCAAATTGTTTGCTATCACTAAAATTGATGCCTTCATATTTTTGTTGCTGGAGTTTACCTGTCAGCTTCAAGGTGGTGTGGTTGACCCCGTAATAATACTAATAATGCAGCAAGCTTCACAGCAGTGGAGTGGCAATCTCAGAGGGCAGGTTACTGGCCTCACATCCAGAATCATTGTCTGTGTTTGTAAAAGACCTGAATAGAAGCTCTCAGGCAGCAGATTGATGGTACAGTCACTCTTTGAAAGACGGTGCTCTTTCTGAAATCTAATCTACTAACCCTCTTTTCCACTGTTTCTTCTTTGTTGAACTAAATTAGCATTCAAGAAAGCAATAGCATTGTTCTTGGTGTGGCACTTGCACTTTCAAAGTACTGTGCAGGGTCTTGGATGTTCACAGAGGTCAGTAAACAAATGTTACTGCTGTTCTCGTGATGGCCTGGATTTGGGGAATTGATAGACTTGTCTGCCAGCTGAAAACACAAGTCTGGATCAGCAAGCAGTGAAGGTAGGGCTGTGGTAGAATAGTTGTCAGGTATGTTTTGGGGAAGTGGTCTCTGTGGATCTTGCTGTTATAAAGGATATCATTAGTATCTTGCCTAGCACTACATAATTTTTTATAGAGTCACAGAATGGTTTGGATTCTAAAGGACCTTAAAGATGATCTCGTCCCACTGCTCCTGCTGTGGACAGCAACATGTTGCTCAGAGCCCCATCCAGCCTGGCCTTGAACACTTCCAAGGGATGGGGCATCCACAGCTTTGTTGGGCAACCTGTGCTAAGGCCTCACAATCTTCATAGGGAAGAACTTCCTCCTAATTTCTAATCTAAACCTTCTCTCTTTCCAGTTTTAAGCCATTTCCCCTTTTTCTGTCACTACGTGTCCTTGTAAAAAGTCCCCTTTCCAGCTTTCTTACAGGCCTCCCCTTAGGTATTAAAAGGCTGCTG